GTTAAAAACCAGTTTCTGACATGCGTCAAATGTCAACATTGAGAGCAAATTTGCCTGGTGATGTCTTGTGTCATTTCCTCTTTTAATGTTTGCCTGTCAAATTAACGTTGACGGAGCTTGAAGTTAATTGAGAAACTCTCCTAAAACAGTTCTCTACGAAAACATCTTTTGACAGCTGTCAAATTTCTGTTAAAAACCAGTGTCTGAAAGTTAGGAAACTGCAATTTTTCGTTCTGTGAACTTTTTGGCATCTGCGACAGTTTCGAACGGTCCTGTAGATGAAAACAGCTCACCCTGTATATATACAGGAATATTCGGAATCCAGTTCAAAACTGCAGCATCTTTGAACGCTTGGCTCGAAGCCGATTTGGCGCTCTCAAGAATATGACAGCTGTCAATAGAGGTTTGAAATATTTTTTGACATCGGGAAACATCAAGTCGAAAAGTTCAACCTAATTTTTTCCAGTCAGCTGTCACTTTTGACGTTTGACGTACCCGTGGTTCGTTTTGATCGGAAGCGCTCACTTGATTCTGCCATTATTAACTATTTTCAATTTTCTTCGGAAAGTTTTGCGCATGACTTTTGTTTCCCACTTGCCTCATCCTTCAATTTTTGTGACGTCGAAGTGTAAAGTCACGTTACTAGGAAAGTTAGGTTAGTTTGTCTGTAAAAGTTGTCATCAATCAATGCTGGACGAGCTTCTGCTTACGATTATGACGGGTATTTTGACAGGTCGTCAGCCGTCATTGAAAACACGCAACCATTTACACGTTATTTGACGTACCGGTTTGCGTCAAATGTCAACATTGAGAGAAAATTTGCCTTCTTACGTCTTGCGTCATTTTCTCTTTTAATGCTTGCCTGTCAAATTAACATTGACGGATCTTGAAGTTAATTGAAAAACTGTCCTAAAACAGTTATCTAGGAAAACATCTTTTGACAGCTGTCAAACTTCTGTAAGAAACCAGTTTCTGAAAGTTAGAAAACTGCAATTTTTCGTGCTGTTAACTTTTTCGCGTCTGCTGCAGTTTCCAACGTCCCTCTGCTGGAAAAAACCCCACCCTGTATATAAATGGGGTGTTCGGAAAATGCGTCAGGCAACTTTTAAGGGCCATTCGACATGCCAAAATAATGACAGATTAAATTTTGATTTTCTACGTATTTTGGGCGCAGCTCTAACTTTCCGCTCGAAAATGGTTGCCGCACCGTGCCGCTAGATGGCTCTTTCCCAGTAATCCAAACATGTCATTTTTGGCATATCTTTTCTGACACGTCAAATGTGGCAAATCGGATGATGCCATTTTAAAGGTTAGAAACAACTGGACAGGAAAGGTGCTCTTGTCAGGACGCGAAAAAACGCTCCATTTAGCAGTAAAGCGACGTCAAAGTGTGCCCCACCCTCCACCCAGTGGCCGCGCCGAAAATCCAGTCGTCTGGTTGTCAAACTGGTGCCAAGCTTGACGTTTTCTGACTACGCTTGAATGACATTCGAATGCAATAGTTACTGTCACTTGTCAAGTTTGACGCACTAGTGACAAGCGGGCGACTGGATTTTCTGCGCAGCCACTGGGTGGAGGGTGGCGCACACTTTGATGTCGCTTCACTGCTTAATGGAGCGGTTTTTCCAGTCTAGTCAAGAGCACCTTTTTTGTCCCCACTGTCCCCAGCTCGAAAACCCCGTTTGCACTTTTCCGATAGTGGGGGTGCCAACAAAGATATGCGCCAAAAACCACGGCTGACACCCAAAGCGCCACCAACATTCTCCGAACACCCCGCTCAGTACACACTTATATTGATAAAACCCGGCACGGGCGTGGGCGCATCCCGGCGCCAACGTTGCCAAACGTGCAGCGAAATCGTGGGTGCGCCCACGCCCCCCGACCGTTCGGCCGCCTCCTAACTCTGTGTCTTTGAAATGCGCGTGTCTCGTTTGCGTCCCCCATGCGTCCCCCACCCCCGAAGGAAGACGACAGTGACAAAGTACGAGCGTGCGTACAAGAAGCCGATTCCGAAAAAGTACCTGAACCACTCGCCTGAGGAGCTGATGGAGAACGCGCGCAGCATCCAGATGCTGCCGATCGCCCCCGGCGACACCATAGGCTCATTGGGGTGAGTCGCTGCCCCCACCCTCACATGCGCGAATGAGTGGGAGCGAGTGCCGTTGGAGGGGGGGCTTGTAGATACCTCCTCCTTCTCCCCCCAGTTGTTCCTGTAGAGTTTCAGCGATTGGTTCTAGGCGCGCCTCATTCATTCGCACCCCCCCACTCCATCCCCACCCCTACTAATGCGAGTTTGTTGATCGGCAGTCGCCATGACTCGCAGCGCGTCCTGTTCCGGCCGTCCAACCACATGGCAGGCCCCTCCTTCCAGCAGTAAGTGGACACGCCCCCTGCGGGGCTCCGCCCCCCCTGTTTTTAATTGTGGGCGTGTTTCAGGGAGCACAAGCTGCAGCAGCTGAAGCGCATGGGCGTGGACGGCGACGACATCGAGGACCTGGCCGGTGAGTGGTTAGCGTAGGTTGGAGCGCGATTGTGTGAACTTGCAATTTGGCATGTTTGATCGCGCCGATTAGTCGGGCAGTGTTGGTTTGGTGGGGGGGAACAAGCCGGGGGTGTCAGTGTCGAAGCCCCGCCCCCTGAATGAAGCGAGCGCGGGTTGCGCCACGCCCACATCGCCCTATCCCTCGCTGGCAGGCCGAATTTCGGGTTCACACAAAGCCACGCCCTAAAAGCGCCGCTTTTCAGACGGATGCGACCGGTTCAGTGCTGCGCTGATCGACGCGGCGCACAGCCATCAAGCGCCGGAAAAGAGGGGCATTTTAAAAAAGCAGACGGCGGAGGGATGGGGCGGGGCGCTCGAGGCCGATGACGTTTTGCGCGCGGCCGAGCACAACATGCAAAGCCTCATCGGTAATTGCCGCGCGCTGATTGGCGCTGGTGGGTTTGACGCGTCCCTCTGATTGGCAGGCTCCAGTGGCGACGTGGAACGCACCCTGAAAACGCTCAACGGCTACCATGACGATATCATGGAGGCGCTGCGCAAGGCGGCGGTGCAGCGCGGCATTGCCACGCCCTCCGGCAGCACGACGGCGCTGAGCGAGGAGCTGCTGCGCAGAAGCATCAAGCAGTGCCAGGAGAGCTACGACTATGACGGCCGCAGGAGTGGGAGGGGAAGCAAGGAGAACAT